GGGAACGAGCATGGGGCATGCATGCATGCATGAACAATTGTCGCTCGTGAAAGCCATATATTTAGTACGTATTCACTGCAATAGTCAGTGCACGATAATGTTGTTGCGAATGGATTTTCAAATATTATTCGTCTCTGCTTTGCAAAACAGCGCAATCAGGCAGCAACATGTTGTTGACTCATTCGGTCGAATATTAGTGTTTTATTTTTGGTACTGTAGCAACAACAAGTGCTGTGGTGAATTCCGATTTGGTAAAATTGTACGCTTGGTTGCTATTGCTGTTTGTCTTGTTGTTCGTGTTAAACGTTCGCTTGAATAAACGTTTAAGTGAAACGAATTCCTATAAACAATCGGACGTATTGGCGATTTGTTTCGTATCTGTTGTATTTACAAGATATCTCTTTTGTGCAAAATGCTAATCATTGTCAACAGGTGAGAAAATTTATTTTATATACATTGGCAATTAGCTGTTGACAGGATTAAGGTCGGAAAAAAATAAATAAAAAATAAATGTATAAAGATGCATCTTTCTATGAACAACAGAGATACTTTTGAAATGCATGTGGGCCAATCCATGTCAAATACATCATTTTTTAATTGAATGAATTTTGGTTAGAGAGCTTTTCATTTATCATAAAACGAAGTTTTGCAAAAGTGTAAAAAAATTAAAAACAGGTTTTTGTAAGTAATGCAAAGTTCTAAATTTCATAATTTCCGGTATTTTACAAGCTTATTTTTCTGGAAAACTTTAAAACTATTATAGTTATAAAAATTGTTTGAGTCCTTTATTAACGGTGGCATTTAGAGATATGTAGAAAAAATGTATAAATAAAATTCGAAAAATGAAAAAATTACAGAATGTTGAAATAAAAAAAATTTAAAAGCAAAAACATTTTTTTTCGTATTTTAAAATTAAAAAAAAAAATTTCAATAAGGTGTGTTTTTGATTTTAAAGATCTGAATTTTTTAACTTTAAAAAACTTTTTTTTTGCAAAATCTAAATCAAGTTATTCAACAATTTATATTGAGCTCGAGGCCGCTTTAAATGAAAGTTTTTATTATGGAAAAGCAACAATAATTTCTAAAAATAGAATTATTAGCAAAAAACCAACAATACCAACAACCATATGATCAAGTGAATTGCAGCGGAATAGCTGCACTTGATTGTGTTGGCATAACAAAAATGAAAATAGTGGAAAAAAGCAAACGATAATTTACAAGGCGTACTTAGCACGGTGCATAGACAACTGGCTGAGTCAGTGGGATCGTCGGTTCGAATCCTACTGAAAGAAATCTGATGGAAATGTGGTGATTTCCGAAATAGCTATCACTTCTACCCTTTTTTCAAATTATTGTTGCTTTTTCACAATAAAAATTTTCATTTAAAACGGCCTCGAGCTCAATATAAATAAATGTTATAAAGGCCAAAAAAATAACAAAAACAAATAAATAAAGTTATGTTAAACAGTTTTTATTTAATCTAAACTAGTTTTTAATTTAGAATTTGCAGTATTTTTTTTCAAAGTTCTAAAATTCGTGTCTTAAAAAAAAAACAAACTTCTGGAAATTTTCATGATCCTTCACGATCACGAAGAAACACATTTCAGTTGAACTTGAAAAAACTGCCAATCAATGCCTGAGGTGTTCAATGCGCTGACAGAAAAGTTGCTGCTATTTCATTTACATGCTGGCAAAGAATGTGAAAATGTGAGTTATGTGCGATAATACTTAGGAGGTGGAAAAGAAAGCAGGCTATAAATAAACAGTATTTATTCAGAGAGATAATTCATGCCGAACAGCGCTGCTTGCAGTTTTCTAAAGCGATTATTTCCTGTAAAAGTTATAATATATATATATTTGTACGTATGTCTTGTTTTGAAACGACGCCTTCTCTGTTTATTTAATTTTAAGTATTTTACTTATAAACATTGGATAGAAGAATTTCGTTTTCCTTCATACTTTTCAAAGCGAATCATTTCATTTAAATTTCAAAAGCTGTTTAAGTACTTTACTTTTGCAAATTTTTTTAATATACCGTAATTCCAACATTGTAGATGAGCTGGCATTTCTGGATGGCCTACGGTATTCCTAGGATGCGAAGAAGCTTGGGCATTGTAACGGCTTCACAGTGGCACATAATGTGCTTTGGTGTTTTCTGTCCTTGCCGCCAAGCCACATGCATTGATCAGAGCAAACAAATACCAAGTTTGGCAAGTGTTTCATTACCTTGCAGTGGTCGGTAAAACTAGAAATGCAAGGTCTAAAAAGGTGATGTGGAAGTCCCTTATTTTGTCCTACAATCCTTAGAAAGGATGGGTGCATAAGCTAATTTTTCCAAGTTTAGATACGTTTTGGTCAGCACCAAAACAGACTTTAGAACAGAGAACTGACCATTTCTGGTGCTGAACATGCAAAACCTTGACTAGGTTGACTGGTTCTGGTATTACCAAAATTATATTTAATTAGAGTTATTTAGCAGTACCAATTGAACTTTTAGAACGCAATGAAATTACAGGCATTATCAGTTTTGTGCTAGTTTACAAATAAATCACTCAGGTAAGACAATTTCAAAAGTCCAGAAAGCAACAACTTTACAATAATGATAATCAAACAAAGAGCTTCAACTTCAAAGCTGTGCACAAATTCAGGTTAAATGTATACCGAAGACAAACTGCCCAGAATAGACGTATAGTGAGTCAAGAGACCGAGCGTTATCTCTCCGTTCAGTATCTGGAATCTAACTCTGTTTTCGGCCATTATCACATGCGTATATTAAAGATTGATCTCAGTTTATAGCTTCAGTTTTTATTCATTCAGCGAGAATAACATTAACACTTTCCAGGGTAAGGCTAGGAAAACCTCCTTGTAAAGCTAAGGTTAGTTCTCAATAGAGACGTGTAAACACTCAATAGAGCTCTACGAAGCCACCTTACCTACACAGTCTACGCGAGAGTTATTTAGCGAGACTTTTTCGCCGTACACACACTACATCGCAACTAGATCGAGAACTCTAATACAACTCTACGCTCTATTTGGCTAACCAAATAGACTTTTGGCTCTACGGAGACGTAAGGTAAAATCGTGACAATGAATTTCATCACAGTGTGTTAAATTTTGAAATGGCTACGACATTAAATCTTATATTCGGTACAAGCACTCCATTTTAGAACATAGTCAAATAACTTATCGGGAAGTTTTCTCTTGTTTTCACAGGCATTTTAACCGCTTTTCTAAAAGCCTCGCTGCTTGAGCTAATATGCCCTTTTTCTAACTTGGATAATACCTATATAGTTTTGGCCGGAACTGCTCGGAGAAATTCCTTTCAAGGAAATTTTTAATTGCAATGATTGTCTGATGTGAGTCCAAAAGTAGACGTGGTACCGAAGAGAGAGGTTGCCGCCCCTATCAAAAATTTATACACATAAAAATACAAATTTAATTTCTAGATAAATTTATGTATTTTAGGGAATTTTTTTCGGCAAATAAGTATCTATAATTTGAAATTTTAATTATCATCTCTAGTGCGAAAAAGTATTTTATGACGTTAGCGAATACGTGAATGCTGCACAAATCAAAGAAGAGTTAGCGGTTTGCGGATGGCACCACCTTCATTTTCTACATCATAGCTCTGATACATGTACATATCGCAGCTTAATTCACAAAGGCCCCAACCAAAATTTTTTCGAAACTGAGTTTTTCACAAGTAGGTTGGTAGGAGGTATTAAAGTATACCTTCAATACAAATTTTGATGTGCTAGTACCAAAAACAACCCTAACTGAGTTGCCACTTTTTTAAAAGCCCTACCCTGCTTGTGATACTATTTTTGTAACGTTTTTTGCTTCTCCTGTAAAATAAAAAAAATTGTTGGTTTGGTCATTTGTGAATTAAGGTAACGATATGTACAACAGGCGTTGACAACAATTCAAGCTAGAAAACTAACTCCAGGCGAGAGGTAACAATTGCCTACCGTCTGCACTACCGTGTAAACTTAATTGAGAGGAAATTTTTATTTCAGTAAAACACTAGCGAGATTTCTGTACCGTGTACACTTAGCTTAACGCTATTTCGATCACAAAGCTGCGCAAGCCTCTAAAATGGTAAATAAAAGGAAATCTTGTTCTTCACACACAACTGATAACAGTCAAACTTAATGAGCTCGGGCACAATATTTTCGTTGCATGTACACCCTTCTTTTAAATATTCACAATGTTTTGCAAGCTATAATTTTTTTGTTAATTCTGTACAAAAATATGGTTCATACAAAAACATATAAATCAAAGTTTCAAACTGTATACAAAACTAAGCAAAATTTAACGAGTTTTCATCAAAATTTTAAACCTTTTACTCAGATTTTCTGATATACAGTTTTATAGCCCATTCAATTTTAGTACAATGTACAACTTTCCAACAAATCGCGTTGATTTTTAATAATTTTTTTGCTGACGGCTCTAGGATTTTTCTTCATACAAGGTATGAGCGATTTTTTTTTTTTATATGGAAGAATTATTTTATTTCACTTTCACTGCAACATTTATGTATAATTAATAGAAATAACTCACAGACTAATAGATTTTTATTTATTATTTGAGTTGGAAGTTATCAATACTGAGTAGTTTTTATCGCTATCGATTTTTTGTGCTCCATTCAAACCAAGAGGCAATGTATTAATCATTTATTTAGAACACACGTTATGAACGAATTTGTCCAATTAAAGTAAAAAATCAGTTAACTTCTCGATATTTCATAAAGCTGTTATGACTTTTTTTGCTCTTGCACTTTTCAATAAAATTATTTACATTAAAAAATACAGCATCCTAACTGGGCGTGAGCTTAAACAAGAATGCGTAACAAATTCGAATTTCATACAAAAATTTTAGACCAAAAGCAATACATTTTACCTTTCACAAAAATTTGCTGAATAATTTTTCCTTTGAAGTTAGAAAATAAATAGCACTGCGTGAGAACTGCGAAAGAGTACCGCAACATACTGCCGACTAACCGCCTTTGCTGCAACAACAAGAGTGCCAACTTCAGCAATGTTGTTGTAGGCGCTAACCGACCGGTCAAAGGTGACTTTAAGTTTTGATAATAATGAGTTGACAGTTGGTTGGCATAAACGACCAAATATTGAATTACCTGCGGCGGCCTGTGTAGTCAAAGGATGATTAAAAAGGATACTAAGTAGTGANCACATAACGCTCTCGATAAACTTTGGCGCGGCCACCACCATTTCACCGGTATTGATCTCACCCTCACAGTGCGCGCAATGCTCATCGTAGGGCGCATCCTTAATGTAACCTTTCAGTGAATTAAATTTTATTCAATCTTTTTTTTTTTTCTCACATCCAGAATGCATTTTCCACTCACCTATATCCAATGCAATTTCATTACGCGCCGTCACGAAATCCTCGAATGACGCTTCATGTTGCTCTTCCAAGTGCTTGCAGTGTTGCAGCGACAAATCCTGCTTAGGCAGCTGATAGGCGATTTGTTGTTCGCGATAGCGCGCCCCCTCCGTACCAATTTTCGGCACTTTGTCCACTGGCAACTGTTCGAAGTAGCGATTGATGCGCGATGAGGCACGTATGCCAGGCGGCACCCAAGTGTAGCCGAGATCGCGCGGTTCGACACCCGATTCCGCTGGTGAGACGACCTTGAAGCCCAATCGCTCATGCACCGTTGTGGTTTGCTGTTGGTAAATTGCGTGCGCTTCACGGGGGCATTTGCAGGATTGGCAAGTTTTTCTGAAAGAAATAATAAGGAAAAAATTTATGAGAAATTTTCAGATAAAAATAATAACGATACAAATTAATTAAATCACAGTTTTTTTTTATAAATTAATTTAAATATAAATAAAAAGCAAATTTTATTTAAAATGCTTAAATTAACATTCATTGAAGTATCGCGGTCAGCTTTGTGGGTAATGCAAACTGTAATGCTAACAGTGCTTTAACAGCGCTGTATGCTTTTCAGTGAAAAAGCTCAATTTGTATGCTGTTAGGCGACAACAGCGAACCTTGTGGGAATTTTTTCAACTCTCTTTGGTAACTTAACAGCACCAACACAATTGAAGGCAAAATTTGAAAATAAATTTAAATATGAACGAATGTAGTTATTCAATAAAAATTGCCTCATCACATAGATCTCATTTGTGAGCAATGGATTACTCCACAAATGTCCAAGCCTCGTGCATTTTATTCTCCTCCACTTCTCTTGAGCACCTAACAGAGGACAAAGGGAATATTCTTTTGAGCTTATTTTGACCTCTGAAGCGAGGATTTACACAGTCTACCATTCATACTTGTCTTGGTTTACGCTCCGTTTGTGAAATGTAGAACCTTCTAAGGTAGCCTGCGCTTTTATTAATAGATCTTTGCGGTCTTTTTGTGTGCCTTTTCATGATCCTAATAGCAGATGTGCTATACATGGCGATGGCTTTGGCATCTACCGAGGCCCCAGATTACATGCAATTTATGCCCACTAGAGGGTTTTCCACCCGGACAGGGATGCGAAATACCCGCTAAAGGACCATAGCAACATAAGAGTGTAGATGCGTCTCAAAGTTATGGGAAATATTTTTAGCTTAACCTAATTGCTCATTGGCGAATCACAATACATGACCGGCTAATTTTATTTGAAATCAGCATTTTCTAACACCACAATGTACGCTGGGAATAACTTGGAATGTAAAATTCCTTAAATTAAATAACAATTTAACTTCTAGGACAGTTCAGCATTAATTTCCAATGCTAGAAATGTAAAAAAGCAAATTTTTTCCTAGGTTGAATGAAATTTAATATGCGCAAAGAAAAATAGTCAAACAATATCAATTTTCAAACTCGTTAACCTCAGGATGGATACATGCATAACCGTTTTAGTGTTCCTGCAGAACGATGCGCTTGAGGAGCGAGCAATTTAAATTTTTTGTTATTTTTTTTTTACTTCTTTCTTCATTTTGCAACTTGGCGGGTTCAAGTTGAAAGACAATAGATATTGCGGTGCATAAAGTTTTCATTTAGCAATTTTTTCTTGAATAATCGCATTTTTATGGCTAACAGCATTGGTTGCTTGGAAACACACAGAAAGGAGATGCATACGCTGATACCATGAATCCATTAAAAAAAAAAATAATGCAAAAGCAAAACCACGGCAACCCACTATTTACAAAGTCATTAGTTTGGCGAAGGAAAATCATCCAGTTTACCCATGTATGTATGTGTATATCGCAAGTTGAAGAGACTATGGGAAATTATGATAGATTAGTAAGTGGGAGGATTCATGGTAGTAATAGAGTGTATATGGAAATACAATAGTTCAGACTATATTTAATAAAAAGCCAAAATAATTATGCTAAAAGGAGTACTAGTTACTGCCGAAATCGACCGTTTTTTATAGGTGTTTTTTAGAGCCCTGGGGATGCTTTCAAACATAGCACGTCGATTAAGTGACAAGGCACACATTTACACAAAAGGAAATCTCCTGCTTTGAAACTCAGACGTGAGTAATATAATAAATATTTTAAAAGCGTTAAAGTTTAACAGGGCAAAAATGTCTCTGTCGTCAAGCAAATGACTTTGGTCTGAAGTATATGAAATTTAGAACTGCAGCCTGTCAAATATACGAAGTCTACTGGCAGTAGCATACAATTGTCCGTGAGAAAATACAGGTCATACAAAAAGCGGGAATGATTGGAAACTGTGGACGCTGGAAGGAAAATGGCAGAAGAGTGCCAAAATAGGACAAATGAATGCGATGGATTAATATTCGCAAGCCTGTATACAGACATTTTTCGATAACTACTAAAAAATTTGTATGAAACAATATATATCGATAACGCGATAATTTGAAATAGCTCAATACATCACCACTCGATAAAATTCGGTAACTCCATAATCCNAGTCATAAAAAAAATTTCATTATCTTGATGAATTTCGATAATCCGATAAATTTTTGGGACTCGATAATTATCGGTAAATTTCGACTACTAAGTGTTTGCGTCTCGATAAATTTCGATAACTCAATAAACATTGATCAATTTTAATAACTCGATACATTCCGATAACTTAATACAAATGTATGATCCGATATATTTCAATAACTATAAACTTCGCTAATCAGAAACTTGATAACTTTCGATAACTAAATTTCTGATGACTGGATGTACATACATATTTCGATTCTTATCGAAAAATTTCAATGAATTTTCTTACCCTTTCAGTTTCCCTACTTCTTATATACGTATAATATATGTATTATGTATCCTCACTGTTTGAACTTTCGTCGTTATCTTCAATTTTGCCTTCATCATTTCATTCTTCATCTGCACATTTTCTTTATTACAAAATCGGTTCGGTAGAATCGCCAAATGGACGGCGAAAAAATTTATGTTAGCGTATTAATATAAAGATTAAGTTGTAATTGTTTGTTTTATAGCGCTCATACGCCGAACTTTTGTCTTTAACGAAATTTTGTAAAATAAAAGAAAAAAAGAATTTACTTTTTTGGAATGAATTTTAAAAAATTTCACCAGCCGGACTTTGTGGCCAGTAAATAAAGTTCCGAGCCCAGTTGCCGACCAACATCACAAAATAAACATACAAATTTTTTTTAATAGCGTTCGCCCCTCGGCAGGAAATGGCAAACCTCCGAGTGTATTTATTCTGCCATGAAAAACAGCTTCTCATAAGAAGTGGAGGCACGTGGGTGGTCATCTGGCTTCTAGTAAGCAACTAGCTCGGGATTATGACTGATGCGTTTGCGTCTGAGGCGCTGGATGCCTTCTACCAATATAAATACAGCATATTGAGGCAGGAATAAATTAAACTAAAACCTGAATAACTGTATACGCTGCTAGTTGTATTCGTTTGACAGTACAAAAAGAACGTAATATCCAATGAACAAATACGTGCAGATTGGCTCTTGGCATTTCAGAAAATACGTTGCAGTTGAAAATAAAATAATAATAGCTCGATTGGTTAAATTCATATCCAGTGGTCCCAAACACTAGTCATATGGGAGTGTATTGAGTTTGTCAGACTAAAGCAGGCATCACGATTCGTACATTTGCACATTTGGCAGCCACAGAGTGGTGTTGTCTAGAAATTTTTGTCGCGAACGAATTCAGCTCAATAACAACTTTCCAAACAACAGCTCTCTGTAAATGTGGAAATGTACATTTCTGTACAAATGTACAAATCATGTGAACCATGTTTTATACTTGCATTTGCAGGTACAAGGTAAATTAATCATATATTTTTGAATTCTAGAAGTTAAGACCAATGTCACGCCTTATATTTTTGACAAAAAAAATATTTGTCTGTGTTTAATTGTTAACAGCTGTCTAAAATAATAAAACTACAATTTTAATCAAACATAAAAACATGTTGTCGAGACTTTTATTATAAAGCTTATAACTGGTTGGGGCCCTGAGCTTAGTACACCTTGCGACAAGCATCTTTTTTCATAGACCACTAAATTCTAGTAAAATAAAGAGTAAAATTTTAACTTGCTTAATAATCGCATTGATTTTTGGTATTTTTTTTCTCACCGTGACGCATTTTTTTCAAACAAAAAAATTGTCGAATATACATACTTTGTATGGAAGGAAATGCGTTAAAATATTGAATGGGTTATAAAGCTGCACACTCAAAAAAAGTTGAAAATTTAGATGCTACTTTGCAATTTAAAAATGAGCATCTAAAACATTTCTTAATCAACTTTTGACAAAAAATTTGAATTCTCCGATCGAAAACCAATATTTTTTGTTGGAGCTAGCGAGTAAACTAAGTAATTAATTTTTTTTCCAAGTTTTTCTCAACCAAATTTTTTTGGCGTTTTATAATGATTATATAATGGCACTATATCTCTTTTGTGGGCCATTATGTCAGCTTTGGCATCCATGTTTTTCCATATTTTTATATTATTTCTATCAAGAGATTTACAATTTTGTTCATCGACAAACTCAAATCGTACACTATGCGGCATAAGTACATACGAATATTTTACAGATACTTTATATAGTAAACTACAAAGATTTTATAATAAATATACTACATATCGAGCTCTAACTGCCAAAAAACATAAGAACATTTTTTTTTTAATTACTGGTGTTCTGTATAATAAAATAAACAGAAAGTAAGTAAAATAGTAATAAATAAAATAATTTCCTTTCGCATTTTCTTACCTTACAATGAGATCATAGATTTCCTTCTTATCGAATACTTTACAATATGCATGCAGGACATTTAGACAAGCGTAACGCATACCCGTCCATGGTATAGACTCTGACGCTAATGCCTCCCACAAGGGACAGTTAGCGTGCCGATCCAAGTCAAGCATTTTCACCATTGTTTGAAGATTTTATTATTTTTGTCTTTATTAATTTTTGTATTATTGTTTGATTCAATACTTGTTGATAGATGTGTGTCGAAAACATATGTACGTACATAATTTTTAACACTTATGCATGTATGTTTTTACATATGCTATCGAACTGTCACCGCGCAAATGTCAGCGGCATTTTCGAAAACAGCAAATTCAATAAATGTCTTTCAGTTCAATTCGATTGTGTTTTCGTAATAAATTTTTGCAAATTTTTCTGCTTTTCTCGATTCTTGCTGCGCTCCTCTTGCTGAAATGATCACATTAACATCGACATAAATTATACTGTGTAAACAAAATTTTAAAACCATTATCATTTCGACAGTTTTAGGGTATAAATAATTTATGCGATGTGGCAAGCGTTCGTGTTGTGTTGCACCATCCGGTGTGGTGGTGGTGTGTTATTGCATGCAGAAGAGAGCATATGTTTATGTTTTTCAATTTCAATTCATTTTCTGACATTTTAATCATCGCCATCATTTTGACCTTACATATGTATGTGGAATAACCAAAAAATTGGTTACTGGAGGATTCACATACTCGTACATATGTACATATGTGTGTATGTAGTTAGGTAGGTAACATTTAAATTTTGTAGTTTTGTTCGAATGTACATAAATAGATAGTACATATGTGGTCAACTGATTTTTGGCAACCAAATTGTTTGTTTTTGCTTGCAAAACCACGTTTGCGTTCGTATGTGCGGCTGTGTGTAAAATTAAAATTACTTGAATGATTTCTCCAATGAGGCTGTTTACTATTTGTTACGAAGTTATTTTCGCAATACAAATACACAAATCAGATCAAAACAGTAGTCATGCCTTTCTTCATACAAAGAATTCCAATTTAATCACTAAAATCGCGTACAAACATTGTTTTGCAGATTAAAAAAAAGGCATTCAACGTATGGCATCGGATTTTTGATCTGTAAATACCTTAGCTCTCGGTAACGGAAAATCTGTAAATGCTTCTTTCGTGTACAAATGAACATTTCTGGATAAGTTCAGGGCTAATTCAGAAACATTTCCGGTTAGTTTAGGACCTTTTCAGGACCATATTTCACGACTATTTGAGGATCATTTTAATGTAGCTCTTTCGAAGCAAATTTAAGACTGTTTCAGGAATATTTCGGGATTAGTCTGGGTTATTTTGCGACTAGAAAAGGCCCATTTTGGGACCGTGAAAGTAACCGCGCAAATATATGAAATAATTAAATTGTTAGGCAATAGATTAGTGTCGAGTGTATTGATGTGCTCAATCGACACTTTTAAGAACTGATCGATTCCGATCTATTCAATACTTTATACTTTTTAGATTTATAATAAGAGCGTAAAACATCCTAGAGGCCCTATTAGTGGTGCGATACCATAGCTATCACCATAACCATTGGAATTATCTCTTCTGATCAAACGTATAGGCAGCTCTGTAAACGATAACACAAGGCAACACTGATTTTGGTACAGCAAATGTTAAAGCTGTTTTTGATGAACTGTTTTGTGCTGATTACGAATCCGTATGTATAAAATTTCCATCAGCTCAATATTTTGAGAAAAACGGGGTCGAAGTGTAAAAAAAAGGCGTTGTTTGCAATATTTGAGAAGCTCTAGAAAAGAAAAATAAATTGATAGAACATTTGATTTAAGCTTAGATGAAAGCTAGAAGTCCCGACTAATAATAATAATACTAGTGAACCTACGTGGCGTCAAAACGCCAACATTTGATTAAATTTTTTAAACAGGTGAAACCCTATTCAAAAACCTCTAAAAATATTCCTAATAATTAATCTAAACCATTTCTCAGTGATGAGAGGTCTCGCATGGTGTCGGTTTTCATTTCATCAAATTTCAAACTTCAAAAAATAAAACCTGTGCACATCTATGTAGAGTCCCAGTTCATTAATTTGACTTCTCATTTCGGAAATTCGAAATAACGGTGCAGATGTGATGACCTTAAAAAAAAAAAATAGATGGCAACTCTAATTAAAAATATTATCAGCCTATAGTTTTCTTAAAACTCTTTCGTTTGACACTAATATTTCGATATTTCATTTATGTATCTTTCGTATAAGTAAAACAAATTCGACTTTTCAAACAGGTGGCAGCCACTTTAAAAGTATTCTCAAACTAAAATCTTTCGCCTGGCATTGTTATACATATTTCAATTAACTGATGAATTAAGTTGAATTTAATTTTTTTAAGCACATGGCAACTCTCCTAAATACAGTTTAGAAATAAATTATTTTCAAACCCATTTTGATTTTTGACAATCTATTTAACTTATTAAATAATTTGAGCTTAATTTTTCCAACAAAAAAAAAACCAAATGTTCAGCTTAAAGATTTCTTAACACTCCTTTTGATAACCATATTTTAAAATTTCATGTCACTTATGTATACTTAAACGAAATGCCACTTTCAAACGAGGCGGCAACCCTCTTAAAAATTATTTTCCAACCAAAATATCCTTAAATATTTTTCGTCTGACATTGTTATAAATATTTGAAGTAACTGATGAATTAAGTGGAAATTTATTTAAACACGTGGCAACCCTCCTAAATATAAATAAACCATCGGTTAGTAATTCATTTAAATTATTAAATAGTTTTAGTTAAGCCCTTTAAACTGGGGCAACCCTCAAACACATCAAAAATGTTCTAAATTTTCAAACTAAGTATTTCTTGAAACTCTTTCATTTCACATCCATCGTTAATATTTCATATAAAAAATAGTTCAATTAGACTTCTCTAAGAGGTGGCAAACCTATTCAATATATTTCCAAACTACTACCTTCTTAAACCTCTTTTGTATGACACCCATATAGCAATACCTTATTCACTTACCAAATTCCTTTAATTAAAATTGAATTACATTTTTTTAATATGTGGCAACCCTCCTATACGTAGTTAAATTATAAAGCCTTTTCAAAACCATTTCGATTGATACCCATATTTAATAATTGATTTAACTTTTTAAATAATTTGAGCTTAATTTCTTAACAGGCGGCAACTTTTTTCGAAAAGGTAAAACCTTCTTGAAAATCCACACCCTAAGCCCTTTAATTTGGTACCTCACTTTTGAAAATCGAACGGACGGTGCGGATCTGAGGGCATTGCTGTGTAAATAGCTTGAGTATAATTATTTAACAGGTGGTAACTCCTTTCGAAAAAAAAAACAGTTTGCACATCACATCCACTTTTGAAAATCGAGCGAACGGTGCAGATCTTTTATGCTGCACAAAAAATGCCTTCGCGTATTATATATAAAGATTTAGATAATAGATTGGCGCTTATGCTAGTGTTCGGCCGGGCTTCTCCTCCGATTTGTGGCGTGCGCCTTGATGTTGTCACAAAAAAGGGGAGGGACCTACAGTTTTACGCCGACTCCGAACGCCGACTGTATTTTTATGAGAAGCTGTTTTGCATAGCAGAAGTACCTCCGGAGGTTTACCATTGCCTGCCGAGGGACGACCTCTGTTAAGAAAAAACCTTTCTTTTGCGATGTTGCTTTGACTAGGGCTTGAACCCAAGCCCGAACTACTATCCCCAATAATACCATCCGTGCACCTTGACCTGATAGTCACATACAGTCATTTATCGTCACAAAAATCTCTGCTAAATTATTTGAAATGCACCTTCCACAGCACTAGAGCTCCTACAGAAATTGCTATGTTGACCTCCTAGCGCCTTTATGGCCCATATTCCAGAGCGCTCTTTCAATTCCTATGAAAAGTTTTTGTTCGTTAAAGAATTCCAGCAAGTTTCTGGTTCTTCGTACGTTTTTCGTAGCCCAAAGGGGAAGTTATGCATTGCAAGTGCACAGATGTGTCCACTTACTGCTTGAAGGTCACTACCACACCTGATTGCCCAAGTCCTGTCTAAGAAAAATTTGTTGCGGTCTCTCCAACTTCGTCGTTTCTTGGCACGCTGCTGTTTACAAGAAGCCAGTTAGTTTTATGGTGTGCTACCGAAGAGATTGTACCGAGACTCCGCAGCTTTGCATGCGATTTGAGCTATTTCTTACAGATTTAAGGATTATAACTATAAACTTAGCTGGACTTTATACCACGAAAGCGAATTTTAACAGAGAGAGATATTTAAACACTGGCTAATAAGTTTGCATGGAACTACTAAAGCAATGGACTGTTAATCACGGTCCTTGTACGAAAAGAGTGTCTTTAGAAAACTCTTGCCATATTTAATTTCTTTTCTGCATACAATTTGTGACTGAAAATACACTCTTATCATTCCTTCTAACCGAAAAGCAGCCACATAATAAAAGCACACATAAAAGCGAAAAAAGACTAGACCCTAATATGAAACAATACCAAAACAAAAGGTTCCCCTTAGCTTTTTTACTAAAACACCTAAGACTTCGCCAAAAGCCATTTCAGCACTTCATTCACTTTGGCGGTCAAACACTTTTCATTTTCCCCTAAAGAAACAAATGTGTAGATTAATTTAGCGGTTTTAGACATAGCGCACATGTCTACCTCAAAGAACACTTTGTTGAAGACCCTTCTAAAACTGACGTTTGAATACACCAAATGGCATCAGTGCTAAAAAAAACAAAAATATACTCATAAAAGTCAATGACGGCATAAGCTATCCCCTTCTAGATTAACTTTTCACCCATATGTATATATGTATGTATGTACAATACTGCGTAATGATACACAAAAGAGGGAGCGAGTGATTCGAGGAGCGGGCAGTGATAAGATTAACACGAATGTTCGCAAGACAGTGGTGAATCAATGCTTATTTGACATTTTATTTGGTCTGTTTCATGCTAGTGAGAAATTTAATTAAATTCGTCATTGTGTCCTAGCGTGAATTCGACAAATAAATTCTTTAAATGGAATTTTAGTGAAGTGAGTCTATAAAAGGAATATCATATTGATGTTAGCAAAATAAAATGCTTAACTTGAAAATAAGATAAGGGCATGGTATAATGAGAGAGAAGGTTAAAAATTTTGTGGAATAGAGACAAAACATTTTTTATGTAATTGAATAGTTAATGAGATACAAACTACGTATACTACAGATGGACGGACCGTCGTTGGGCTGGCAACAGCTGGAATTAGGCCATAGACGCGTCCAGGTGAGAATTATGATCTAGATGGGATCCAATGGTAGAAATGGCTTCTAGATTGGGTGCAGCATTGGTCATATGGCATCTCAATCCTAAAGACGAAGGGTGCATTTTGGCATTGTGATGACAACAGCTCACAGTTAAGCGCAGCATGAGGTGATATCCATTCAAGAGTTTAAGAAAATAGCATTCGAAAGCTTGTGGGTAACATACTAGGCATTTTCCTTCCTACTGCTTTTGAGA